CTCTTGTATAAATACATAAAAAAAATAGCAAAGGGAAATCAGCAAAGTTGGCTGGTAAGAGCTAATTTAAAAAAAAAATAAATGTTTGCAGAATTTGTTGACTGAATTGGAACTTGATTACCATTTTTCTTATTTTCTTTTCAGTCAGTAGAGTTGGAATGGCCAAAAAGATTAGAGAATAACCACACACCTGATGAACTTTAGCCATATTTGATACTAGTTTTTAAATTTTATTGAAAATAAACTAAAAACTAATGAAATAGATTCAAATCTTATTATCGTACATCAGATTTATATCATGGAAGAAAAGGATATGAGATCTTTAATCTTGATGCAAAATCCATACAAGATAAATCCCCAAGAAACAAGATTTTTATGCCCCACCTATGATAGTAGAGGGGCATTATGTTTTTCAGTCTGTGTGTCCGTTCGTTCATCCGTCCGTCCATCCTTCCGTTCGTCCGTCTGTCCAGCTTCAGGTTAAAGTTTTTGGTCAAAGTAGTTTTGATGAAGTTGAAGTCCAATCAACTTGAAACTTAGTACACATGTTCCCTATGATATGATATTTCTAATTTTAATGCCAAATTAGAGTTTTGACCCCAATTTCACGGTCCACTTAACATAGAAAATGAAAGTGCGAGTGGGGCATCTGTGTACTATGGACACATTCTTGTTTTTTGCTGTTCTTCATCTAAAGTCACAATGAGGATTTCACAATAAAGCAAAGGTTAACTCCTTATTGCAAATTCAAGACAACCCCTAAAACATCAGTTTGTGTGGAATCCATTGAAAAATGTTGATAATACTACATTTGTGCATTGAAGCATGCTATGAATTATTTAAATTTCATTGATATATTTGAAAATCTTTCTTTAAAACCATTTTTGAGCAAAATAAAATTAACCCTCCCTTTTCAAATAGGTTATTTGGTGACATCTTAATATCAGAGTCAGTTTTATTGTAAATTATTATTATACCCCCGCTTTAAAAAAAGTGGGGGTATACTGTTTTACCTCTGTCTGTCCGTCGGTCCATCCGTCAGTCCGTCAGTCCAACCCATGAATATTTTTGTCGCATCTTTCTCAGGAACTACAATACAAGGATTTCTGAAATTTGGTTTCAGGGTTTATATAAGTCAGCTAACCCGTGTGATGCGTTTTCAGATTCATCACTCAACTACTTCCTTTTTACCGAACACCATTTTACACATGATAGCCTAGTTGAAAATTTTCGTTTCATTTTTCTCAGGAACTACAATAAAAGGATTTCTGAAATTTGGTTTCAGGGTTTATATAAGTCATCTACACCCTGTGATGTGTTTTCAGATTCATCACTCAACAACTTCTTGTTCACTGAAATATTTGGGCGGGGGTATCATCAGTGAGCAGTAGCTCGCAGTTTCACTTGTTTTTAATTTTTTTGCAAGTCTGACTTAATTTTAGACAAATTATTCTTATGGAGCTCTGGACTTCAAGACCTTCCAATAGGTCTGTAAATAGCCACTTGAAAGGCTAAATTGAAGCCCATATCCCAAATAATCCCTTTTTCAAATGGCATCCAATTTTCTGGCCTTCACCATGATGAACCTTTTATTTGTTGTATTTTAATAGTTTTATTCTCATTGTGAATGTGCATGAAATATTTAATATGGATGTTAAGCTTCTTAGATGTCTAGGTGACACAGCCCTGTTAGCATCATGTGAGCTATTGGAATCACTTAATACCTGCATTTCTATAAGACCAAACACACTCAATTCCTATGAAAGAAAGCATACTTGCCATTGGCGTAGGAAGTCATGGCTTTACACATGGCAAGTTCAACCAGACTTAAAAAATTGATATTTGCTGCTTTTTTTGAAAATCTTTGACTGGTGCAACATGTGGAGAAGGATCTGCTTACCCTTCTGGAGCACCTGAGATCACACCCAGTTTTTGGTGGGGTTTGTGTTGCTCAGTCTATGGTTTTCTATGTTGTATTTTGTGTACTGTTGTTTGTCTTAATCTTTTTTAGCCATGGCGTTGTCAGTTTATTTTTGATTTATGAGTTTGAATGTCCCATTGGTATCCTGTGCCTCTCTTTTTGTTACACTGCATTTTGGAGTAACAAAAAAGTCTGTTCAGAATTAGAGTAAGAATAATGTTGGGGAAGGGAGACATATCTTCCTGTGGACTGTGATTTTGTTAAGTAGCATGTTAGTGAGATCAGTGTGTTAATAGAAAAACAAAGGATATGGGGTTATCCATCCATGACACAAAATCAGTACATGCACAGTAAAAAAACACACAATAAGCAAAGGAACAGCGCTTTTATTGCTGTTCTTCATCTCAAAGTCACAGTGAGGTCTTCAACAGGGAGCAAAAAAACCTCTCACCTCACTGCAAGTTTAAGACAGCCCCTAGCACTGGCTTGATTGGAGTTCTTTGCAAAAATAAATTTGGATAGACTTTGTAAGATGTCAATCTAGTACAAAACAGGGTTCATATTCATATCACATCAACAATCTGATCTGCATATCCTATTGGGACATCTCAATACCAATGCACTTATTATGCTTTATATAAATTGTGAAGGACTACAAAATATAAATGTAGTAATGATCTTTATGTAAAGATCTTTATTTCGTTTCTTTTAATTTCTGTACTTATCAAACTGCATATGGCAGACAATTTCCATTGCAGTAATGGAACAATTGTTAGTTTGTGGACATTTGAACCAGATAGCCTATAGTTTTATTGCAACATAATCATGACAAAGTCAGGAACCTATGTACCAGATGACCTTAGTTTTATCGTTATTAAATCCTGCCAAACTCATTGACCCATGTACCAGATGAAGTTAGTTTTATTGCAATTTGATCCTGTGAAAGTTTGGAACTTATGTACCAGATGACCTTAGGCCTATTGTTATTTGATCCTGTGAAAGTCCGAAACCTATGTACCAAATGAACTTAGTTCTATTGTTAATTTATCCTGTTAAAGTAAGGGACCTATGTACCAAATGACCATCGTTCTATTGTTAATTGATCCTGTTAAAGTAAGGGACCTATGTACCAGATGACCATCGTTCTATTGTTAATTTATCCCGTTAAAGTAAGGGACCTATGTACCAGATGACCATCGTTCTATTGTTAATTTATCCCGTTAAAGTAAGGGACCTATGTACCAAATGACCATAGTTCTATTGTTAATTGATCCTGTGAAAGTCTGAGACCTATGTACCAAATGACCATAGTTCTATTGTTAATTGATCCTGTGAAAGTCCGAGACCTATGTACCAAATGACCATAGTTCTATTGTTAATTGATCCTGTGAAAGTCTGAGACCTTACCAAATGACCATAGTTCTATTATTAATTGATCCTGTGAAAGTCCGAGACCTATGTACCAAATGACCATAGTTCTATTGTTAATTGATCCTGTGAAAGTCCGAGACCTATGTACCAAATGACCATAGTTCTATTGTTAATTTATCCTGTTAAAGTAAGGGACCTATTTATCAGATGACCTTACATCGTTATTAAATCCTGCCAAACTCGTGGACCTATGTACCAGATGACCTTAGTTTTATTGCTATTCATGATATCCGATCATCTTCAGAATATGGAACACAAAGTTGATTCAATTAAATCTATGGTAACACTGAAACATGATATGCATTTCCTATATGAAATTTTCAGATATTGCAGTGTCATCCCTATTAGACCATATTTACTGAATCAACTAGTATGTACTGTATGACTGTTATTATATAAGATGCCAAGTGGGAAATTTTTGTGAATAGTTTGATTATTGCTTATTTTCCAAGTATTATAATCCCCTTGGGTTGATTTGATATTTGGAGTCAAGATAAACATAAAATCAAATCTCTGCAAGCAGGATTGTTCCTCAAAATCACAAATTTTGAAGTCCATGAAATAAAACAACATCATAGCAGAGTCCTCACTAGGATATTTTTAGGGTGAGTCCTGGGACTCTTCACTTTTTGAATTTGTGTATGTTATTTACGCAATCAATGCATGCATAATTTTCTTTCCAATGAATTTTGTTTTGTCATTATGCAAAGCAATGAATGAAAAAAGATGTTAATTTTCAGTAAAATATTGAAAAATGCACATTCTTTCATACTGTTTGAAAGATGAAGGACAATCTGGCTTCATCCTACAATAAATATCGACCGCCATGAAATAGCCAATAGTGCTGAAAGTGGCATTAAACACCAATCAATCAATCGACAAGGACAAGACTAAGCTAGTGTGATCGGGATGTGTCATGTGTCTGTCATAAAATCATTTGTTAATTTTATCATAATTAAATTTATTTCAAGTTTAGACACATGGACTAGCCTTAATGAGAACCCTGTGAATGTTGTGATGAATCTCAAGTTCCCATGCATCTTTGTAAGAATCTGTGTGAAGCTCAAATAAAGTGTCACTTGCGAACATCCTTGTAATCTTTATTTTTTTCACAACCAATCACACCAAACAGCTAAATAAAACCAACTATGACATGTAGCTATTCCAATTTGTGCTGTGCAACTACGTCATTTTAGTCTAATGGATAGTTATTTCATTGGCAATCATACCACATATTATTTTCATATGACATTTAATTTGTATCAGACATTCCCAGGAAAGTCTGTTTACAAAACTTTAAATAATTCGAAATACTACGGATTTTCTAACCCATGAATAGATTACCATAGCTGTATTTGGTACAAAAATGTACAAAGTTTGGAATTTTTGGTTCTCAATGCTTTCGTAATTTTTTTGGCATTTTAACTTTTTTGATTCAAGCATCGCCGATGATTCTTTTGTAGATGAAACGTGCGTCTGGCGTATAAAGTTATAATCATGGTATCTTCAATGACTTTTTTTTTTTTTTTTAAAGGCATCTTCCATGACGAAAAGACTGTATCTAGTTGTTAGTTCTTTTTTTTTTGGCAAACATGTGTTGTGTACTCAAAATGATTATATTAATTAATGTTCATTAACAAAAACAAGATAAATGATTATCACTATTTTAATGAGTTATATATGATATTATGACATTATGATTGTAGATTTATCTTTTGTGTATCAAAAATCATTACTTTAATATTTACAACATATTTTAAAATCAAAATTAATATATTACATTAAGAGCTTTGCATCCTAGAAGAACAAAAATATAATAGCACTTTCACTATCCCCTATCATAGAGATGGTTTGTCACACCATGCATAGAATCAAACATTTTTTGGGAACAACCATTGGATTTTTAGGGGGAGGCTTGGAAGTGGTTTATTTAATCAGTTGGGTTTTAATTTTTTCATATATTTCTGGAGGTTTTTTTTTACGTTTTTTTTCTTCATCATTTTATATTTCATATAAGCATATACTCTCTGGCTTTTTTTTTCATTTTCAGTGCCCTTGATTACACTTTTTTTTTTCTTTTTTTTTTTTTCTAAGATTTATTTCCTTCCATGCACAACCCCTTCTAAAAATGAAATATCAGCTCCCTTATCTGTTATCAATAATAAAACAATTGTTTTAATTATATTTAACTGCTGACTAAATTAGTTCTTGGAATGTATTTGAATACCAAATTTATCACTACTTCCTGGAAACCATGTCCTATAAATATACTTCCTGTTTTCTATAAAATTATTAATAACCTGTAAGCTATTTTCACTTTTAAAAGGTGTGGGTGTAACCTACTTTCGTTTTTACAGGATGTGGGTGTATAACTAACAATGGGGTTTTTGTTAGGGAATTTCCAGAAGTTAGTAAACATGTAAACAATGTTAAAAGATTTTATGGCATGAAATACAACCTAGGAATTTGATTAGGACCAGATATATGGCTTGTGTATTTAATCCAAACAAAAGGTCAGGTCCTGGAATGCCAAGTATGCAATCCGGACAGAAAAATATATGTTGTTTATTACTGTATCTGCCCACCATTAGAAGTTCCCCCTAATTTTTAGACTGATATTTGTCATTATACATTCAAACAAGATAATGGTATTTATGACTCAAACTTTTCTTTAAAAGAAAAAAAATATATATATCTAGAAAATACTGATAATAAAATAACTATCCACAAAACGAAAAAACCTAAGAAATATCCCAGGACCCAATTTGTCACATTTTACAAACAGATATTTATTTCCGAAAAAGACTTCCTTTAAACATTTATGTTATCAAAGCAATAACAATATTGTAATGACATTAGAAATGGTTGTCACTTCAGCAGCTAAAATCATATAAACAGAGATTCAACAAAAATATAAGAAAATAACAAAAACATAAACAAAACACAATTAACAAGCTGCCATTTTTTTGTGGTTATGAACAGAACAGCACAAGCAACTAACACAATTTATGTGTTCTCTTTTCGTTTTTTTCCCTTCAATCTTTCCATCTTTCAAACTTTTCATTTTCTTTCCAAAAATAGAATATTTCATACAAAATATACCATTCTTCAAATAACCGACGCTAGCCAAATCAAGTAACTAACTTTCTGGTCGGAATTTAGGGATTTTGAGCACCAAACAATATGCCAATGCCAAAATTCACGACTGATTTAAAGCATGAATAGCCAAATTGGCTTCGTCTATTTGTCTCTCATCACTTGCTACACTCTCCATTGCCCCTATATTCGGATCAAACTCAACATTCATTAGATTTCCCGATAATTCTAAACTTTCGAAAGAAACGCTCGTTCCTTGATCACCTAAATATTGCTGTATCATATTCATAGTGTTCTGTTCAGTATTAGCCGGCTGCATCTGAATATCATTTAATAATCCAGCGTTTACGAGACCAGATGAAGAAGCTGCCGCTAAATCGAAACCTTGGCTGGATTGGGATGTTTGCTGCATCTGCATCTCCTGTTGTAGTTTTTGCATGGCAAGTCGCTGTAACAACTGGTTCTGTAAAGTTTCTGGCAAACTGGCTAACTGAGCTTTTAAACTATCTACATTTATTGTCATATTTCCAATGCCAGTGTTGTCAGAAGTGCGGACGGAAGAGGTATTTGTTGTAAACTGGCTTGAAGCTCCAAGGTTACTGAATGGGATCTCATCTACCACTGTTGGTGCTGAAAAAGTAATGAAACAAATTTAAAACAGATGTTTTAAGAAGAAAAACAAGTACCAAAAGTAACCAAATATTCTTAAATACATTGTATTTTTATAATCCATTGTGTCTTGTACATGGGTTGTCTCACAATTATGCCATATAGATTTTCAACTTTAATTTTCCTTGTAACACGGTGTCAGTCTTTATTGAAATTTTGTTGACTAAGTATTACGTTAAGATTCATACTTCTGCAAAATTTATCAGAATTGAGCAACCAGTTTTTTCCAGTTGAGCCAGTAGCTGGTTAAATTACCTGCTATTTCAAGATTTTAAAGAAATCACTAGAATTAGTCATTTTCCATTATACATAATGTACTGCTGTATTTTATATATGTAATGCTCTATTTAAATACTCAGTACATTATGACAGTAATTAGTTTAAAGTCAGGAATGGTTTTACGTCATATTTGTGTTTTTACTTTTTTGGAGAATTGTGTTTTAATGTAATGTTTGTTTCTGTTAAATTTATTTAAACTTTTAAAGATTGAGGACAATGTAGAGCTTGGTATGTTGCCCTCTAGATGTCTTTAAGTTATTTTTGACTCATTGAAGTATACCCAACATCTCCTTTTAGTCATATTAAACTGTATAACTATTTCAATTGGTACTGGCATGGTAAATGGAAAACCACTAGAAACCCTGGATATAACATAACACTTACTATCGATTTTTTCTTGCTTGATGCGAGATTTTGTAGCTTTGATTTTCAGCCTCTGTTTGATATCATCTGGTGAAGGGTCTATAAAAGAAATAATAATTATATCTTAAATAACCGTTTCATTTATATGCCATGTTGTAGTAACTTTAATATATAAAATGTCTATCAGGGTTGTTACAGAAAGAAATGTATGGCTGTATAAGATTCAGAACATTTGGTTGTGGCAAAGTAAGGTAAGAGTGGGGAAACGGCAACTTCAGCAATTTTTCCATTTATAAAGGGACTCGGTGAAAGTGGACCACCCAAATTGGAACTTGATCTGTGTTTGGTGGTAATCAGCATTATGTATAAGTTTAAGAACTTTTGGTTGAGGCAAGCTAAAGTTAACTTAGAGAACAGAAAACAATTTCGGGAAATACAGACGGATGTACAGATGTACAAGGGTAAACAGATAATGCCCCTTCACCTAGTGACTGGAACATAAAAGTCTTCAACATAGCATCAGAAAATTTTACATAAAACTTTACAAAACACCCAGAAGTTGAGTAATTTTCATATTGAAGCATAATGCATGTAATTGTAAGAGTTTATGAATTTTATCTGTATTTTTACAAATATTCTTTGAAGCTGGTGCAAAAACCTTTTTCTCCTAGTAAAGTTAATACATTTTTGGTCATTGATGACACGGTTATGTAACTGCATTGCAGAATACTACTATTTCTAGTTCCATTAAATTATTTGTGTGTTACTGTTATGCTACACAATACAAAACACATGCTTATATTCTGTCCATTTCAAATAATTTTTTTCTAAATCATAGTAGGTTTGTATAAGGGAGCTTGAGAGAAAATTGGTCAAAAAAGATTTTCATTAAAAATCCAGGTTCACACATGTATAGATTTACAACACTATATTATCCTATAAGACTCCAATCAATGTGAAACAATGTATACCATATCCTGTAGTAAAATAAACTTACTATCTAACAGTCCCAGTGACCTCAGCTGATCTGCTTTCCTCTTTCTCTTCTCAAATATCCTATCTGGATCTTTAATTAGACATGAGGACAAAAGGTCAACATATGGGACAACAAATGATGTAAAAAATCATATAATAGATTAATTGTTGGTGTTTATGGCATTACAACACTCTTGGCTATACCGAAGCAGTCAGTTTTTTTATTGTTGGAGGAAACAGGAGTACACAGACAGAATCAACGACCTTCAGCAATAGAAGTGACTTTATTTCAATTTATAACAAAGCTTTAGTTATAAAGTCTTGTCTATTGCTTAAATGATTGCTAGTTTTTATCCTTTTATAGTTTCCATGTTAATGTTATGTCCTATTGCATCTTGAATATTATGATTTTGTGAATGAATTTTGTTTTCATACTGTTTTAGTATCTGTTACATGTTAAACTACAGTTAGTCACATCAGGAAACAAACATACAGTACTTTTTGTGGATTCCAATTTTTCAATGTTTCATGGGTTTTTTCTTTTAATTCATCATAAAACACTCTTCATCTCAGAAATCTTCAATATGATCAATGTAAAAAAATATATTTTTGTTTTCATGTTTACCTAGAATATAAATATTTTCCTAGTAAAAGTTGTAATATTACAAGTAAATGACTAAATGGTTAATTCAGCTTTAAGATATTTTGTGCAGAATCTAGATGCCCAAATTCAATACTGTGAAATGTTTATTTTTGGGGTTACCACTTTTAGTGAATTGAGGAAAAAGTGTTTCTTGGATATTTGATTTTTTGGTTTAAACAATTTCTGCTTTGAAGCATTTAGAAAATTTGTATTTTTGTTGAGCTCTAAGAGTTCTTGTTAACCGACAAAAGATAGTAACCAACAAGTAATAACGTATTCATAACAATTTTTCACATTAATTTACTTGAAAATGCCATCTGTACAATTCTGAAGTCCTGACTAATGGACTAGAACCAATGTCTCGCTACCCTAAAATACTATAGTAGCTCTGTATAACTCAATATTCAGAATATTCAACATCACCATTTTCCTTTTCTCATTTTCAAACCATTTAAAAAATTCTACTTTTCTTAACAAGTTAAGAACTGGTCTTTACCTGGATCTTCTGGCATGTAAATAAATGGTATTGGATCACTTGTTTCTGCAGGGTCATTTAATCGTTGTAACTGCATTTTAACTTGTTCAGGTCGTGTAATGTACTGGTCTTTGTATGGCGGGGTTTTAAAAACAATTGCATACTGAAAGAAACAAAAGACTTATAAGTAAATCTGTGTAGTATTTCAATCACATTACTAAACTGATAAAAGTGTGTTTAGATATTGGCTTGGAAGTATACTGTAAGCGTGGAAATTTTTCGCTTCACTTATTTTGCTTTCCTGTCAAAATCATGAAAATTTATCGAACAATCACAAATGAATCAACAATTAGAAATTGTATCTAAATGGCAAAAAAAATTCTATATCTACATTCTGCAATGTTATGTATATTTTTGTCTTGAACTGCAACCTACCTGTCGATGAATATCATTAGCACTAAAATCACCAGAATCTTCCCATACCACATCTCCATTATCATTCTCCTGGTAAAATCTTATTCTAACATCATCTACAAGCATAAACAATTAAGAATGGATTTTACTTTTACTTCAGAGCTTGAAAGTCAAGTTTGAGATCAGTATTTTTGTTGAAACTTTTTTAGCAATGGCTGAAATTTTGATTTTCTTAAGTTCTGCTAGTCTTGCAAATTCTAAATCTGATTAAAATTATACACCATAATAAAAATTAAGTTCTATTTCTTAATTAAGAACACATTTACAATGAAAAACAAGTTTAAAGGCAAAGTTTTTAATAGTCGCGAAATCTGCTTGCTGTTATTTTTTTTTTTATAAATATTTCAGAAAATCAATTTAAAATCAAGAAATTTAGATTTTTAAAGGGGTATTTGATGTGTTTCTTTCATCCTTACTGACTGATAGGTTTTAAAAGATAAACCATGCAAAACAAATAAGATACAGTCATGGCCTATATTCCTTTCAAATGCCTATATAACACAACTAACAGTTTCTCTTTAATCTTCTAGTGTCATCAATCTTATACTTAAAGAATGTTTTAACTGAAATCAATCCGCGTTATACTATAAATTAACAAAGGGCTTTTCTAAATATAAAGGAAATCCCAGATAGTTGATAAAATCTGTTAAACCTTAATACAATGCTGTATGCGGTCCACAATTTTTAAACAATTCTATGCAGTTTTGCATTGCATAAAGTTATATATAATTTATTTTTTTTCATGGAAGAACCTGAGGTTAGTAACCTCGAATACATGACCCATATATTTAATATAGAATATTTTAACAAATTTCCATCCTCCAAGAATGATTTCCCATATTTCTGTTTATTGAACACATTCAAGGCTTTATGAGTGACAACCATGTAACATTTGAAAAGGATGAGAAAAATGAAGGCTCTATGAACCCATCAACAAGAATTCATAAGGCATATTTTTACAACCCCCTCTCAAAAATGTTCGCTGCTTTCCTTCTCTTATAGTTACAATAGGAAACAGTAATATATATCTCACCTTTATTGATTTTTTCACAAAGAAGAAAGACTTCATCACCACCTTTTGCTCTACCAGACGACTTGTCCACTCGACAAATTACTAACTCGTTCAATGATTCTACAAAAGTTAATTTATATGTTATTCAAAAATAATCTCTACTTTCACTCTACCTGAGAATAATACAGTAAAATTTAAGCTCTGATTTTGTTATTTAACATGAGATTCTAAAATTCTGATCAATGTAAGAAAAATGAATATAAAATTAAACTTAATCTTGTCAAGTATTAAACATCTTCCCTTCATGCTTAGTTTTAATAGACAATTAATGAAACCCCCTTATCTTATAAATAACTTTATAAACTTACTTTTATCATGTATTGGATGTGACACCACCGGGGGAACTATTCTTGTAATTTTTCCATTCTCGTCAGGAAGAAAAACTTGGAAGCACAATCTAACAACATTCAGGTCAATATTATTGGCCTTCTGCATATGTTTAAATCCACCTGGTAAATTAAAACACAAAATTTAAACATATATCATAATTCTACAATGCTTTTCATTATTGTGTAGTATTAAATTCATGAAGAATACTTAAATAACTCAATAATATGTATTGTATGTAATACCAGTTTATGCAAGATTCTATAAGGGTCTATGCCAGCCTTATTAGTGGAAGACAGGGATGTAAATCTCCCCCATCACAATGTTCCAACAAGACAGGTTTCACTATTGATGTGGGACCGCTGGTGTAGGTGTCTCATTTCCATCCCATTTACATATTCAGATTAATCATAAAATATTTACATACAAGAGCAGTTACATTTTTTTTATTATGATTTTTAAGGTCAACATGGAAGGTATGTCATACAATGTGAGTTTTTCCCTGAATTTGAATTTGACCAAAAATTTATATGTATCTTCCACACCCACCCCACAATAATGTGGAAAATACATCATATAACTTATATATATCAATATAACTAAAATAAAAACACTTCCATGACAGTTGAAACATAATCAGATACCTACTTTGAAAGGGATCAACATTAATTTCCTTTCTTTGCTTTAAGTTGTCCATTACATCTTTCTTCTTTGCACACTGAATTCCAAGATGTGGGAAGCTGAAAGAATATAAATACTTTGATAATATCCTATCATAAAGAAAGCAGTGACAATTGAGTATGAATAAAATAATTTAACATCTTTAAGACAGCAACCCACAAAAATATTGAAGTTGTTATAACATGTGTGTCAACTCCCTCTAAGAGATCAGGGAGAGTGTCACAATATCTTTTTTAATCTGGATATCTACATGACAGAGTTTCAATTTCAAATTTTAAGAAAAATTCTCTTAATTTCTCCTTTTTTCACTATTTTTCTTGAAAAAATGGAACAATTTAATCTACACATACCGACAAAGAAAATAACAATTCATTATTACATTATATCATAGCAAAATATTCAAACTGACCTTATTACATTTGTGTCCTTGACCTTGAGTGTACAGACACCCCTCTTACAGTCTTTCCCTACTAGGTTATGTGGATGGGGTTCATAAGGGTGATCTTTTGTTACACAGGATACCACTATCACAGCAACTCCCTGGTATTGATGAATCTGAAATTTATATCCATATATATTTATTTATATGACTTGTTTTTTACACTCATACACATGGTATAGACAGCCTTCATTATGGTATACTTTTAAATGGCATAATTTTTACATTATTTTTGAAAGTCATGGTTATTCAGGCGAGTGAATTAAAAAAATTCCATAATTTATTTTGTTTTGTTTTAAGTCTGAAAAGAAAACATTTTTGAGTTTCAGTATTCATATTTATTTCATTGTGTATTTTACTCTAAATGATACTTGCAAACCTGTGTGGTAAAACTGATCATTACTCAATAGACTTGGTAGTTATCTTATCTAATTGGTTTTTAAATATACCCAGTATATGATCCTAGTCTGTCACTTCATAAAGCAGTCTATATATCTATTATTTCACAGACATTTCAAGGACAATTTATTAAAATATAATAAAAGACTACGGTTTATTTATACTTTTAAATCACTGAAATAAAGCATGCAATTTTTACACACTAAGTAAATTGTTGCAATTTCATAGTAAAAACTGCAAGTTTGCCAAACAAAAATCTTGTTAATTATTAACTTAAGTAATGAAATAGATCTTTATTCAAATTTCCACAAGCAACTTACTTTAATAGTTGGAAATGACTTCCTATCTTGAGTACTTTTCTCGCCAGGAATACTGCCAGCAGATCTTCCCTCACATTCATAACGGAACCTCAGCCCTCGCTGTTTTGGTTGTTCTACAATTTCTGTATAAATGCCATCAGGAGTAGTCTGGGCCCGTCCTGTAGGTCCTCTGGTCACGGTCCTATTTGTAGATGTACCAGGACTTTGTTCAGCAGACATAAATCCCTGTAGAAGCTGTTGTGCTGTGAAAATGAGAAAAAATGCATTTTTGAAAATTTGTGCATAAAAATAAAGATCAATAAGTTTCCAAACTTTCATCAAAAATTATAAACATATAGCACTCTTTTGCAATTTTTCAATGAATATTAATACATTTATATCAAATAAAAAGAAAAAAAATATTACTTACACAATTTTTTAAAAACATAAATGAGAAAAATTTATATTCCTGGGTGCAAATTTTTGTGGATTTGCCGGTTGACTTAAACTACAATAATTAAAATCCAACGGAATACACAATAATAAATAACTGTCCAATGCACATATTGAAAGCACATAGTTTAAAATTCAACAAACCAACATCTTGTATTAAAACCACAAAGTTTGATCTCAATCAATGAATAAAAATAAGTGTTTATACCACATCAACCTAATTTGTTATTCTTTGAACTTTTTTGCTCCTAAAAATTGTCAGTGATTTTTAATCTTCATTATTATACCTATCACTTCTTGTTTTTTCTTATAAATTAGAATATTCAAGATTTGTTCAAAAAATTTATCAAATCTTAAATTTTCAGCTTTACAATTAATCAATCCATCGTAAAAAAAAAATCTAAAAAAAAATAAATAGTAAAATAATGCAATGTTCACCTTTCCACAATACTAATTATAAGTCAATTGACAAAAAATAGATGTATTGCAACTAAAAATATTTTTAGCAGAAAAAATTCCGACAAACAACAAATTGAGTTGCTATATATATAGCCTTTTATAAATTACACATGCACATCTGTAAACACTGCTGACTGTTGAAAATATCAATGAGTGGATCCATATCCATGAAGTCATCCATGTTTTTTTTTTTATGACTAGAGGCAGACAACACAGGATGTCATTTCAGTAATGATCACAAAAACAAGCTGCCCTGTTTAAATATATGCAGAATTGGAAATTTTTCCACAGGATGTATATACATTTCACAATATAAAGGGTCTAAAAATAAACTTTTATGTCACCAAGATATCTTGAAAAGAGAAGTATTCATTGTACAAATCTGCCATTTAAATGCTATTGTGTGAATACTACACCAGTCGTAACCTATTCAAAGTTCATTAATTTTCTAGTGCAGTGAACATAAGGGTTACACCAATTATATTTTTAATTCTTTGGATTTTTTTAAAACATATAAAGGTATAATTTATATTTTCTAAGAATACTGGCAAAGAAAAACAAGGACCTGTATATAATGACTAAATGTAATGATTCATACAATGTCATATTATTTGAACAACATATTTTCTTTTCGTCATGATAAAAAAAAATCTAGATATAGACACAGGGCTGACATTAGTTTGAATTATTACAGTAAACTGGTCTCAACAGGACCCCTTCTGAAAAAATGGCCAATATTTCAAAATATGTAGCAGGGTTTTTTTTTGTGGCGTAACAGTTTTTGGCATTTCTATTTTTAACATTTAGTTTGTATAAAATCGGATGTGGTAACCAAAAAATCATACCAAAAGTTTGGTGTGGACGTAACCGAACCGAGTACAAACAGTGATTCAATATTTTTAGTCCTTTCATATACGTTTTTTTTGTGGCCTAACAGTTTTTGGTATTTCTATTTTTAACATTTAGTTTTATAAAATTAGATGTGGTAACCAAAAAATCATACCAAAAGTTTGGTGTGGACGTAACCGTACCGAGTACAAACAGTGATTTAACATCCTTTCATAGAAAAGTGTAACCTTGGTAAACAGGTGTTTTCTAATTGTTGCAAAACATTTCTGTTTTTTACAATAAGTTCGGTTAAAATCGGATATGGCAAACCTTTAAAATTGGAACAAAAAATTGTGTGTTGACCTAATCAAATTTCAACAGAGTATAAACAAATTATTCAATATTTCTAATCCTTTCAAAAAAAGTGTAGCCTTGGTAAACAGGAGTTTTTCTAATTGTTGCAAAACATGCTACAGAGACAGATCAATTACAATTTGTGAATGACAAGATTTTAATTATAGTCTGTGCTAAGGATTATTGATTAATAGTAACAAAGAAAATCTCAGGTATACAGTTTGTAATGGTTTTTGGATGACATGCTAAAAGAAGGATGAATTATAACAGATTTTCATTCTTACTCTATGAAATTCTCTATAGTATTACAAGTTACTGAGAATAAAAGGTCATTGAAAATATTGATTCCAGTATCAGAAGGTCCTCTGCTAGGGGGAATATGACAACGTCTTAATTAGAATCTCAATAAATCGGTTGAAAAATGACACCCAAAACTATAATAGCCTGATTGAGACAAGGACTTGCCACACTTACTAGGCAGCTTCCATATACTGCTTCTCTGCTGAGCATGCAATATTAAGCTGCAAGAGCAAATGCTGTGGAATTTGAAACGAGTTTCAACGAGTTTCCACGTCCACTCTGTGTTTTTGTTAGATGTATTTCTATTTGTATCCATCTGATGAGTTAAGCCTTTTTCAACTGATTTTTATAGTTTGTTCTTATGTTGTACTGTTACACCACTGTCCCAGGTTAGGGGGCAGGTTGAGCGCTCTCAAACATGTTTAACCCTGCCACATTCTTTATGTGCCTGTCCAAAGTCGGGAGCCTGTAGTTCAGTGGTTGTCGTTGGTTCATGTCTGTCATATTTGTTTTTCGTAAATTGTTACTTTCAGTGTCAGTTCTAGGCTGCACGCCACCACATGAACAAAAAACATATTTTTGAAAACATATAGTCCCGCACAACTCTTTAAAATTATTGTCCACTAAAAGATTCTCTTTGCCAATCCATAATTTTAAATGCATTCATTTAAAGATTTTGAATTGTAAAAGGAGAAATTATCACACAAACAATTATAAACATGCTAAGCATACAATTACTAAAGACATGTTCTACAGGTAAAGAATTGTTTAAAATTAATAATTGGAGGAAGTTTTTCCCTTTAGTGAACCCCTATTGTATGAAGCTGAATGTCATGATGAGTTGACATAAATCATGTAAAGCACATGATGACCTCACATCAATCAATACCATAGCTGTACCTTGCTGATTTTTTAATGATTCTTTTTCTTAACCTTAACAGGTGAAAATTATTTGTCATCGTTTATTTCATATAAATTTCTCACCAATAAAATCTTATTTTTTTTAAAACTATGGCTATGTTAAAAATTTATAACTTTATTTATCAAAGTTGAACATATATGGGTACGAGTTTGTTGTGTTTTAAGGTACATGTGTTTATGGTATTTATAAATAGGTCTGTTTGATTGGATATCTAAATGAATACAGGGAGAATTTAATCCATAGGTAGTTTGTTAGTAGTTTAAGTAATTCACATCATTGCAGTCAAGTGGGCTCTAGAGGCTTTTTTTCCAAATCAATAAATTTTATAAAAATTATTCATTTACAGGCTGATTGTCCAAGATGGGTCGCCAACATTTTTTATGAGATAAAAAGAAAAACATGTATTAATTATCTGAATAAGAAATTGTACTTGACTTTTGCAAGTGGCTACTCCCATCATCCCAGAGTTTTGTATTATATTGATAAATCTTTTATGTTCAGTGTAATTTATTAACAGAACATAACTTCGATTTAATCTTAATCATAATGTACAGAAATTTTTTGAATACAATTTTAAAGTGAGTAGATATTGAACATAATCCAGACATTTTGTTAATACTGTGGATTCATTGTTATTCGTTGGATACCAATTTTCGTGGTTAAAGGTGAACCATAAATATAAATGTTAAACAGGTACCAATATTCTACAGGCTTGTATGCAGACTTTGTCAAAACCACGAGATCAAATATCCACGAAAATACAATTTTCCCTCAATCCACGAAAATTGGTACCCACGACAATAAATCCACAGTACACGCTGGACTACCTAAAAAATTGTTTTTCATTTCGTTAAACTGATGTTAGAGAGATTTTTTTACATTGAGAAAGCTAACAGGAATTACCAAAAAATATTAGACAGCACCAGGGATCTCCATGGATGAAAATTTAACTATGGAAGAACTTTCACCTGGACAAAACCCAGTGTGTTTCGATTGAAATTATTTCATTCCTCCATTTCATTGTACATAAGGAATAGTGAATAGACTGATATATTGTTTAAAATATTAATTTCATTATAGAATAACCATTTTCATCAATTGTCATTTGCAACAATTCCAATGTTAAGCCTCTTATTCAAGGATGACCATAGTTCAGCTCATCTTCGCTAGCCAAGGGTTACGATCCACTCCCCTCCTCTCCACCCTTGGCGGATTGAGATAGAATTTCGGAGACACAAGGTAATTATTTTCATTGGTTGCAGTCGTAACTGGCTGCATCCAATCAAAAAGCACCTATAACAAGATCATGTGTAAATGTAGAAAATGTAAGTAAACAATTACCACATGCTGATTGTGCAACAAGTCTTTACATCCCTAAACATACGACGATATTTTGTGACAGCTTAAATGTTTTTATACCCCACGCATCGAGTTGCGGAGGGTATAATGTTTTTGACCTGTCCGTCCGTCCGTCTGTCTGTTCGTCCGTCAGTCCTGTTTCTTGTCATCGCAACTCCTCTCAAACCACACAACAGAATTTCACGAAACCTTTTTAGATAATAAGGACATACTATGTAGTTGTGCATATCGACAGGAAATTGCGATTCAATTTTTTTTCTAGGAGTTACGCCCCTTTGAACTTATTTACTTTAATGTACTACTGCAACAGTTTGTCATCGCAACTCCTCTGATACCACACAACAGAATTTCATGAAACCTTTTTAGATAATAAGGACATACTATGTAGATGTGCATATCGACAGGAAATTACGGTTCAATTTTTTTTCTAGGAGTTACGCCCCTTTGAACTTCTTTGCTTCAATGTACTACTGCAACAGTTTGTCATCGCAACTCCTCTGATACCACACAACAGAATTTCATGAAACCTTTTTAGATAATAAGGACATACTATGTAGATGTGCATATCAACAGGAAATTATGGTTCAATTTTTTTTCTAGGAGTTACGCCCCTTTGAACTTCTTTGCTGCAATGTACTACTGCAACAGTTTGTCATCGCAACTCCTCTGATACCACACAACAGAATTTCATGAAACCTTTTTAGATAATAAGGACATACTATGTAGATGTGCATATCAACAGGAAATTATGGTTCAATTTTTTTTTCTAGGAGTTACACCCCTTTGAACTTATTTGCTTTAATGTACTACTGCAACAGTTTGTCATCGCAACTCCTCTGATACCACACAACAGAATTTCATGAAACCTTTTTAGATAATAAGGACATACTATGTAGATGTGCATATCGACAGGAAATTACGGTTCAATTTTTTTTCTAGGAGTTACGCCCCTTTGAACTTATTTGCTTCAATGTACTACTGCAACAGTTTGTCATCGCATCTCCTATGATACCACACAACAGAATTTCATGAAACTTTGTAGATAAGGACATACTATGTAGATGTGCATATTGACAGGAAATTATGATTCAATTTTTTTTCTTATACAATTTTTTTTTCTTACACATATTTTATTTCTCCAATTACAATGTGAGGACGTGGGGTATGTGAGCGCGCTCACTAAGGTTCTTTAATTATTCAACTATTAGAAGTTCCTGTGTATGTTTCATGCACAAATGTTGTGGAATGTCAGGGTATATTTTCGTTTCCTGCTTCACCAAGTTTGTAGACTTTAGGCGCTACCATGTTTTCACCTCCATACTGAAGAGGGTTCAAATGCTACCATTGGTCAAGAATAATTTATTTGGAATGGGCGTGACTTTAATCAACGGTTTTTACCGATAGAAGGCGCAACATTGTTATCACAAATGTTGGCTCAATCTGCCAAGAGTGGAGAGGAGGGGAGTTGATCATAACCCTTGGCTAGCGAAGATGAGTTCAGCTGTTCTCTTATATTTTTAATGTCAAAGTCTTTTGCTGTCAGAAGGTTCTGGAGTTGTTTTCTTGCTATTTTGGTACTTTTGGAAGGACTTAGGACAATTTTGTAGGGTATGTTAGTTATACTTCGACCAGTCTTGCATTTGTCATTCATCCAAGCACTGTACTGGTTTCTGTGGTCAACTTTCTATGTTAATTATTTTACGTGGAACCCAGATACCACAAATGCATTGAAATATTTCATTTTGATGGAAAAACACCAAGGAATTCAGTATTTTGATTGGTTGATATCTGAGTCTGAGTATGATAATCATGCTCAAAAGTTTCATGACTGTAAGCCCTGATCTTGTTGATACTGAGTTTCATCTTGTCCACTGCCAGCAATAAGAGTCAAAGAACACTTAATGTTGGCAATAATTTAAAAGATCCATGGAAGATTTGGAACAAATTTGACATAGTATCATCAAAATAATAATGGGTCCACCACTCTTGGACAAAGATAAAATAAATGGGCAATTTGTCCATGGGACACAGATGATGCCCCCACTTGCATATAACGTTATAAAGGGACATAACTCACGAACCGTAAAAGTGACGCTACCCAAATTTGTACTTGATCTGAGTTTTGTGGTAATAAGCATTGTGTATCAGTTTCATAACATTTGGTTGAGGAAAACTGAAGTTGGAGAACAGAAACAAAAAAATTCAGCAATTTTTCCATTTGTAAAGGGGCATAACTCTAGAACCGTAAAAGTGACGCCACCCAAATTTAAACTAGATCTGTGTTTTGTGGTAATAAGCATTGTGTAGAAGTTTCATAGTATTTGGTTGAGGCAAACTAAAGTTAGAAAACAGAAACCATTTTGGGACGTACAGACAGACAAGGGTAAAACTTTACGCCCCCTCTGCTATGGCGGGGCATAAAAAGAGGATTGGGTTGGCAACATCTTTCAGTAGTTTTAATAGCTAACCTAAAATAGAGCCTGCAGCTTCCTTCTGCCCTATGCTGCCAAGGATTTATGACATTCATTTCTTAAAATAAGTTACTGGCATAGATTTGGCTAACATTATTGGTACATGTAGTTGGTTCAGCTGCTGAATAACTTACTACATCGGCTGACTTTGTTGGAAGTCTGGAGGTATAAGTAAATGAGATAGTATCCAAACAACATTTAAAACAGAAAGAGAACTTACCAGCATGTCCTTGGCTGACGTTGTTGGTTGTAAGGTTGGGCTGCTGAGGGTCAAGGTTAAGTAGAGGGGACAGCAACTAAACAACAGTTTAAATAGAGAACTTACTAGCATGTCCTAGGCTGGCGTTGGTTGTCATGTAGGGCTGCTGAGGTTCAAGGTTGAGTAGAGGGGACAGCAACCAAACAACAGTCAAAATAGAGAACTTACAAGCTTGTCCTTGGCTGACATAGTTGGTTGTCATGTTGGGCTGCTGAGGGTCAATGTTAAGTAGAGGGGACAGCAACCAAACAACAGTTAAAAAAGAGAACTTACCAGCATGTCCTTGGCTGACGTTGTTGGTTGTCAGGTTGGGCTGCTGAGGGTCTAGATTAAGTAAAGGGGACACATCTAGTTCACCACTATTGATTAACTGTTGTAGCTCAAGGCTACTTAGGTTTCCAAGCTCCTCCAGACTGAAATCTGTAATAAAAAAAATACAGATGTGGATTCATCAGATTTGAAAACTATAAATTTTAAGTTGTTCTAATTTTATCAGTCTGACTACTCCAAAATGTGTCAAGGAATTATCGGTACATTGTAGCTCAATTTGGAAGTTCTAGAAACTTCTTCTGAGTATAAATATATAAGTACAATGTATGAAGTATTTTATAAATATGAATAAAAGGAGTTAATTTGAATTGGGTGTAGGTCATTGAAATACAAGCAAACAATTTCTTTAACCATACATAAAATCTAAGATAATATTTTAAGTGGCTTTGTTGGGTTGTTATTTCATTTAATCATGTTAATGTATTCCCACTCTCTTTATTCATTCAGATTTTATTTTGTTTATGCAATTCCTGGCAGAACAAGTGGAGAACCACCACAATAATATAACCTATATAATTTTTAATTTAAGTAAACGTGTGCTATCTTTTCTTTATAAGGAAATTTAAATATACTACGAATGTTCTGTACATATGCACTGAAATCAAGTTTTATATGTTTGACCCAGATTAAAAAAATAAGTGCATCTCTCACGTAAACATTAACAAACATATATCTTGTTTTTATATATATAATAATAATTCTGTCTGGTGTTCAAGAACTATTTATGATTTGTGGTGACAAGCCTACCAGAGGTTCATCTATAATAGATTTGTATTTGGTTCCAAAGATAAATTTGAGGAACAAATATGTATTGCTTGCTTGTTGATTAAACTAACAAAGATAGTTATCAAAACAATCATGGAAATCAAACATGTACATTTTATTATTACCTAATTAGCATTGTAAATGTCTATTGAAATGTATTCTAAGGAAATGCCAATCTATAAAAAAAGCCAGACACCTGGAGACTCACCAACTAGTTTCAAATATATACCTATATATTTAAATTTTTATATAAAGTTTATCATGTTTATGTTTTTATTTACATGAACAAAATAAGTAAATTGATTTATAAAAATTAAACTACCATGAGGATGATAGAAATATTAGAATGCAAGGCAAGCAAACCCTGTGCGAGTAGACCCATTTTGCTCCAAAACCGAGAAAACCAAAATTTGAGTTATTTCTCTTTTCATTACAAACGAAAATCTCTTCAAAGGTAAAATACAGCCAGATGTAACAGTGAACATTAAACTAAAAGGTTGAACGAAATAGCATGTTAATTGTCTGAAAATGTAGAGTTTTTAAATTCACTATTCTCTACCTGTTCGAAAAGCTGAATTCATTCAGATTTTCATATTTTTCACGTCTTGACATGTTATGCAAACGTCTTAGACTGAAATATAAAGTTATTATATCGCCTATTCCATGTTTACATATTGTTTATATTTCCGTACTGAGAACTAGCCCAAAGTTTCTGGTTTGTTTTCAACAGCCCACGAACAGGAAAATATGGCCACCATCTTTATGGTGTATAAAGGAATTTACGATTCGGTCAAGAAAAATAGAGTATTTACCGTCAACTGGATTAAATGGCATGGCTTTCATGCTTACCTTTTGATGCACTCATCGTAAAGTCCGATTCCTCGGCACAAAATTTGCGGCTACTGTCTATTTTAGGCCAAACTGGACTTTCACAGTAAAAGACGTCATATGCTAAAAAAAGAATTCGGGGAAACACAGGATAATAACCCTGTTTTGATTGGATAAAATTGTTCACAAAAGTGGGCGGAAAATAGCGAGCAGGGGACTCTCTCAAAGTAAAATATTATACAGTGGCCTATACAATATTTGCGATTATTTTTTTAAATCCCCGAAGTTCAATGACATTGCTTAGAATGACATTAAACCGTGACAAATATTACAAAACAACAGAGGGTTGAGTTAGTAAGGGCGAGCTAGATAATTCCGGATTGGTCGAACACTTTTTGAAACCAAATTAAGCAGTCATACCTATATATTTATATACATATGTTTATATACATAATAAAACTATACTGTATTGTAAGAGTGTATGGATAAGAACAAAAACGCATTGAATAATTGAAAATAATTTGAAAAGTTAAAAAAAAATAACTAAAACAAATTGAACACCAAGGAAAAAAACGGGAAAGAAAAAAGGGGGCATGTACAAGGCATGCATCTGTGAGAAAGATGTGTTTGGATGGTTGAAGACACTTTTTTTCAAGTATAAATATGCTGTTAAAACATCGAAATCTCACCATTTTTTTTTATTCTGAGAATATTTTGGGTATTATTTACATCTTTTTTTGTTGGAAAATGAGTTTTATTTCGTACTTAAACATTATCAATGCAATTAGGAGGGTTGCCAGATATCACGAAATTTCGCCTAGTTGCTTATCATTTGTATTATATTACTCTGGAAAACACACATATATACATATAGTTTGGTTGACTTTCCATTCTCGCTTTTGAAAGTTAACGGTAGAACAAGGTACACGTAACCTTCTATGTTCACGAACCTCAGAAATGTACACAACCTTTTTTATTCATGTGCTAGGAACACTCCTTTCCGGATCTTTTTTTAAAAGTAGCATCATGCAGTTACCTTACCTGCATAGGTTTTTTTAATTTAAAAAGAAAAAGTATTACTCTGTCCCACGGGTTTGAAGCTAAAAAAAATATGCATAACACATGTCATATTTCTCGTGTTTATACAAATAAATAGGTATATAAAAAACTCTTCCTGGTCTAACACGTACTTAAAAAAACGTGTGTATTTGTAAACCCCTTTCTCTCATTTTCCCACGGTCTTGATGTTCTTGATGTTGAGAACATCTTTTCGGGATTTTCATTTTCTCTTAAGAAAATTTTTCCTACCTTTTGATCTTCTTTTAAAACTGTTCGCCGGCTCCTGTTTTGCGCTATGTTTTGCACATCCACTCAATTTTTGAAACACACTGTCAATATATAAGGATATTCCCAATTTATTTTGACATCTTACGTTTTGACATTATCTTTAAATTTACGAATGTACACGATTTACTACGAATAAGAACCGGCATATTCGTTAATCTCCGGTATATCAATACGCGGAAATTCCTGCGTACTTTCCAGAAATTTTTAATATAAGTAGGTCAATCAAATAACAAAAAAAGGGGGATAGTTTCAGTGTAGGAACAGGGGGTAGAATTGATTATTTGGAAATGATTAAATCAAAGACTTATATCTCTGATTAAAAGCATAAAAAACTTTTTTAATTTCTAAGGGGCCATTTTCTTTCGTGGGGGATAGGAGGAAATATTGGAATGAAGTCCCCATGCACCTCAAGTTGAGGAAGGCAAGTAAATTCAAGACCACCTTCCAACAATTTCAATTTATATTTTTATTGTTCAATAAAATATTGCATCAGCTTATAGTGGGTGAAGTTTCTTGTGACTTCAGGGATATATATAAAAATGAGGAGATATGGTATGATTGCCAATGAGACAGCTAGCCAACATAGTTGAAATGATCGAAGTTGTATATAGTATAAGCAATTATAGGCAACTGTATATGGTCTTCAACAAGCTCAAACTGTATAGTCGGCTATAAAATGGCCGATCGACATGAAAAACGTTAAACAATTCAAACGAGAAAACTAACGGCCTAATTTATAACCAAACAATTTACGAAAAACAAATACACGTCGTATATGACATACGTACTGAACCAACGACAACCACTGTTCTGCAGGCTCCTGACTTGGCAGGGGCGGATTCAGTCAAGCGGGGGCGTGGCGGGCGTGCGCCCCCTAAAATTTGCAAAGCATGGGTTGTTCCCAGCTTAATAAAGAATATTTCGATAATTTTACCTCAAAAAAAATTTAAAAAAGTAATAGATATATCATGTTTTCTATCCAACGGATTTAGTGTAAAGACGTCATAAACAGTCTGAGAAACGCATGACCTTGGGCATGCAATGCCAAAATATAAGTAAACGGTATCTACAGGATGTAGAATCATAAGTTATCATAACTGTACATATATATTCATAGCAACATATATAGTCAATTATGTTTTAATTTTTCAAAAGCAAAAACAATGTTAGTAGTCCTATAGAACAATATTTAAAGATTTAAGAAATAATTCATGGAAGCCATAGATTTGTTGTAAATTTACACATGGCCAGCCCAGGCCATGTGTAAATTTACAACAAATCTATGGCTTCCATGAATTATTTCGATTCTAATAGGACAAATACGGTCATTTAAAAACTGAGGCGAGGGTGGGAATGCCGTGTGTGCTGCTGTTCTTTTTTACTCCCTGTTAGATAAAGCTTAAACTTTCTAATAAATCTGTGGCTTGCATGAATTAATTCGTAAATAACCGCTAGAAAAAATGAACTTTATTCTTTTAATTCTCAAACCGAACATTTGCCATTTTTAATCTACATATGTTTTTCTCGTAAGCTACGGTCAAATCCAAAGATGATATTTCGTTACTAAGGAGCCGCCATGTTGACTTGCTGAAATCAGTTAATATGCGAATAATGCATTAGAATAGAAAATAAAACTAGAATTGCTATTGCAAGCAATAGCGGATGTCACCCTTCCCCCATTGCCACTAAGCGGCAGCCATTTCAAAATTTTAAACAGTGGATGCACATATATGCATTGCTATACACCTTTCTGCAAATTTTCAGAACATTAAAGGCTTTTTGAAATTTTTCACATTTTTGATGTTTCCATGGCAACGGCGGCCATTTTGGAAATTCCAAATTGGAGAGTCTCATCTATACTTGCCAGTTCACATTTATATTAAGTTTCATTTTTTGGAGCATTTTTTGAAATTTTTGAAATTTTTGCTGTTTCCATGGTAACGCTTATTAATTCCAAAATTCCAGAGACATATACCACACTGACTGATGACATGTTACATTGATTGCAGTTTAATTTGGTTTAATCTTATATTCTTTAAGAAAATGCTCCTTTAATATGTTTTCCCATAGGGTCAATGTTAAACTTTTGCCAAGTTTCCATGGAAATGGCAGCCATTTTGGAATTTCTAAATATAGTCGGTGCTTCCACACATACCAGGCAACATTTCCATAAAGTTTCATTTGGTTTGGTCTACAAATAAAAGAATTGGCTTTTTGAAAATTTTTCACATTGTTGCAGTTACCATGGAAACGGTGGCCATTTAAAAAATTCCAAAGGTGTCCTGCATAACTAGAGTTGGTGGTCCTCATTATGGTACCCATTCATTATGATTGGTCCACTAATCTATGAGAAAACTCTAGGACAAAAAAGGTGGAATAATAATAATAACTAGATTTGCCATTGCAAGCAATAGCGGATATGTCACCCTTCCCCCATTGTTACTAGATTGCAGCCAGTTTTAGAATTTTAAACAGTGAATGCACATATATACTGATGGCTATACATCTTTCTGTAATTTTTTAGAACATTTGGCGGAAATACAAATTTTACGCATAATTTTTCCTTTTTTGCCTTGTTTCCATGGTAACGGCAGCCATTTTGGAAATTCCAACGCCAATTGATGCTTCCACACATGACAGTCAACATTATTGCTAAGTTTCATTAAGTTTGAAGCATTCTGAAATTTTTGAATTTTTGCTCCTGTATCCATGGTAACATAGTAGTTCCAATGATTGTCAAAATCATTCAAAACCTGTATATAATGGACAACTATATTGTATAAAAATTTGATGATTTTAAGTTAAAGCATACCAAAATTATTCAACAAACCCTGAAGTTTTTGGAGCATTTTGACCTTTTTGCATTGTTTCCATGGTAACGGCAGACATTTTGGAAATTCCAACGCCAAATTCCACATCTATCAATGTTGCTCATCGTTACTGTGAAGTTTCACAAAATTGTGAGCATTTTGATATTTTTGAAATTTTTGATGTAGTTTCCATGGCAACATAGTAGTTCCAATGATTGCCAAAATCATCCAACACCAGTATATAGTGGGCACCTACATGGTATTAAAATATAATGATTCTAAGTTTAAGCATCTCCAAATAACTCACCAAAACCAAAAACTGGATTTTTTTCACATTTGTTCCGTTTCCATGGTAACGGCAGCCATTTTTAATGTTCTTAAGACCTACTGCAACCCGAAATTTTGTGTTCCTCATTATAGTTAACTATCATTAAGATTGGTTCCATTGGCTCCAAAAAAACTGCAGGACAAAATTAGGTGGAAGAATAATAATAATAATGATAATAATAAAAAAAAGAAACGGAGGAAAAGCAATATGTCACCCGACATTGTCGATCGGGTGACATAATAATAACTAGATTTGTAATTGCTATCAATAACGGATGGCACCATTTTCCCATTGCCAGGCAGTCATTTAGAAAATTCCAAAGGCAAAGAGTGCATCTACACATGCAAATTATCATTTTTGTAAAGTTTCATTAAGTTTGGAGCATTTTGAAATTTTGGACATTTTTGCTGTTTCCATGGTTACGGCGGCAATTTTGAAAATTCTAACTTCAAAATGCAACTCTGCCCATGCCAGTTACCATTTCTGTAAAGTTTCATCCAGTTTGCAGCATTTTGTTTTATTTTAAATTTTGGACATTTTTGCTGTTTCCATGGTTACAGTGGTTAGTTCCAAAATTCTAAAAGCAGACATCTCATTGCCACATGTCATGTTATATATCAATACAGTTTCATTGACTTTGGTGAAATACTCTTTAAGAAAATGCTGATTTTA